CATCCTCTTTTTTTTTAAAGATAGGATCTCACTGTGTAGCCTAACTGACCTGGAACTTGATATGTAGACCAGACTGACTGGCCTCAAACTCACAGAGATCCACCTGCCTCTGCCCCAGCCTCTGCCTACTGAGTACTGAGATTAAAGGCATGCTCCACCATAGTTTGTTACGGAATCTTTAATACTTGAACAGACAATGTATTCAGGAGGATATCTGTAGATTTTTATATTGGATTTTAAAATGTCCAGAGAATAAAGACCATAAGAGATTTTACTTTTAAGTTTAGAATTTTACTTAAAGTAATTTAGGAAGTGGTTTTCTTTTTATTTGCTTTACTTTCATTTTAAAGAGTTTATATTATTATTTTTATTTTATGTGTATGAGTGTATCGCCTGCACATATTAGTTCACCTGTGTTGGGCAGTGGCAGTGGAGGTCAGAAGAGGGCACTGGGTCCCTTGGAACTGGAGTTGCAGATAATTGTTAGCCACCATCTGGGTGTTGGGAATCGAACCCAGGTCTTCTCCAAGACCAGCCAGTGCTCTTAAGTGCTGAGCCATCTCTCCAACCCCTTTGTTTTGATCTTTTTGAGACAGGATTTCTCTGTAGCTCCAGGTGGCCTGGAACGCACTATGTAGACCAGGCTGGCCTTGAACTCACAGAGTTTGGCCTGCCTCTGCCTCCCAAGTGCTGGGATTAAAGGCATGTAGCACCACATCTGGTGCCCCTTGGTTTTTAAAAATTTTTGTATATGTGTGTCTATGTGAGGATATGTTCACATGAGTGCAGGTGTTAGCTGAGGCCAGAAGAGAATATTGGATCCCCTTGAGGTGGAGTTACAGGCTGTCCTAGTTACTTTCTATTACTGTGCTAAAAACACTAAGCAAAACCAACTTGGGGAGGAAGGAGTTTATTTTAACTTACATCTCCCAGGTCATAGTTCATCACTAGTCAGAACAAGAACTCAGGGCAGGTACCTGGAGGCAAGAAGTGAAGCACAGACAAGACTGTAGAGGAACGCTGCTTACTGACTTGCTCTTCTGGCCCATGCTCAGCCTACTTTCTTACACCACTAAGGACCATCTGCCCAGGTGTGGCACCACCCACAGTGGCCTGGGCCTTTTCACGTCATTTAAAAATCAAGAAAATGTCCCACAGCATGACCACAGGCCAGTCCAATGGAGGTAATTCCTCAGTTGAGGTTTCCTCTGCCCAGGTGTGTCATGTTGACAACTGGTGCTATCTGGCACATAGGCGGTTGTGATCCACCTGACATGGGTGCTGGGAACTGAACTCCAGTCCTCTGCTAGAGTAGCAAGTGCATTTAGCTGCTAAGGCATATCTCTAGCCCCAAGAGGCCCATGAAGTTTTCAAGATTTATTTAGATATTTTATTTATGTTTATGTGTGTTTGCCTTCTTGAGTTCATGTGTACCCTGCGTGCAGGAGCCTTAGGAGGTAGGAAAGGCATTAGATTCCCTGGGACTGGAGTTACAGGTGTTTTGTGAGCCCTTAGGTCCTCTGTAATGGTCAGGACTTTTTTTTTTAATTATTAATTTTTTTTGGTTTATTTTTATTTCATGTATATGAGTGTATTGCCTGGATGTATGTAGTGCACCCATGTTGTGCAGTGCCTGTGGAGGACAGAAGAATGCATTGGCTCTCCTGGAACTGGAGTTACAGTCTGTTGTTAGCTACCATGTGGGTCCTAGGATTCAAACCTGTGCCTTCTGCAAGAACAGCCAGTGCTCTTAACCACTGAGCCATCTCTTGAGCCCCAGTAGTAAGGACTCTTAACCACTGAGCCATCTCTTGAGCCCCAGTAGTAAGGACTCTTAATCACTGAGCCATCTCTCTAGCTCCTGAAGTTTTTTAAAAAATGTATTTTTTCCCATTTAATGTATAACATATAGTTGGGATCTAAAATACTTTTTTTTTTTGGTTGTTTTGAGACAGGGTTTCCCTATAGCCCCAGCTGTCCTGGAACTCACTATGTGGACCAGGCTGGCCTTGAGCTCACAGAGATCCGCCTGTCTCTGCCTTCCAAGTGCTGGGATTAAAGGCATGCGCCTCTACGCCTGGCTTCTAAAATACTTTTTAAGAATTAGTAGTGCTTTAAACAACCTTGATTGCACTGAAAAACTTTGTATAGGTTGGAGAATTTGGAAAGGTGAACGCCAAATTCACATTTATGGCAACAGTGATAAATTTCACAATATTGTTGGGAGTTGGTAATGCAGTTTTATCAGTAAATAATACTGAAAAATTTGTAGTAGGCATAGAATTGAAAATTTGCATTCTAAAATGCAATTACATTTTTTTTTTTTAGTTTGAGAATTATATCAATTTTAACTTCCCAGACTGATTTTTATCTCTAGACATTCAGTTAGGTGTTTTAACATTTTCCATAGGGCACAGGTGAAGGTATTCTGGGGCTGTAGAAGAGTAATAGAAAAGTGATAGAAAACCTTTTGGTGCCTGGGAATGGGAGAGGTCCAACAGCAAGACCTGGATGCCAAGACTACGTGTAGAGTGAGGACCACAGCTGAATCTCAGGGGAAATGGGAAGTCTGTTCTAAAGAGTCACTTCTCCCAAGACCAGAATAATCAAATGACAGATACCTCCCATCGGCTAGCATAAGCCCAACACAAAGGCAAAACCACTGAACTTTGGGCCTCAGGGGAGGGGACTGTGGGGAATGCAACCACTCAGAAAAGGCTGCTCAACAATGGGAAGCCCTTCATCCTCTAATGTGCTCTACCATCAACTTACCACCAGAGGACTGTGGAATCCTGGCTGTGGTGGGGGCCAGAGCTCCAGATTCATGTGAAGGTATCACAGTTCCAGTTCACTGAAGGGAACCACAGCTCTAGCTCACCAAAGGGGACCATAGCTCCAGCTCCAGCTCCAGCTCTATCTCACTTGATGGGACTACAACTCCAGCTTGCAGGAGGAGACCACAGTTCCAGGCTAAATTGGTTATATAGACCCAGAGCCCTGTAACTGAACATGCCTCTTTTGCATGCTTCACAGTATGTCAGTTGTATTGCTTTACATTATGCTATGGTGTAAGGTCCTTACAGAAATGACAGAATTATTTGAAAGAGAGATTTCCTTATATACAATATTTATCATACACTGAAAGGATCTTTAGGTCAAATGCCAATGGCAAATAGTGTGAAAAAAACTGATCAAGAAAATGGTTGAACAAACAAAAACAGATTGTCATTTCTGTGTCATTTTCCAGGCGAGAATTTGATTAGAAAGAACATATTTAAATATCTAAACAATAGTGTCACTTCCTGTGGACAGAAATAATTTCTTGGCTTGACTTTATAGAGCTAACCTTAATTAAGGACCAGTTGCTTTCAGGCCACTGAACTATTTGCTACAATCTCATTACTGTGATCATATATATCATGTATAACACATGATATAGATCATATATAACATGTATATGTGATATGGCCATATATATGCATAATTGTCTCTATGACATTTTTATGACTTGATTATTTGATTTGAAGATTAATTGATAATTTTGTTTCTCTCTTAGGCGTTTGTTGCTTTTTCTCTAGACCATTTCGTTATTTGTTATTTTACCAGATTGGTAGTGGTTTATGAAACCAGTTGTTTAAATCCTCTTCAAAGCATTTTTATTGTGACTGAACAATCTTAAGCTAATGGAGAACAAAAACCCCCAGTATCTAGCTATATGGTTAGATGTTTACATAATGCATTTCAGAGAAGGTTGTTGGGCAGCACTAGAGTTTAATTTTAAAATTTGATCTTAGGAAGCAAAAAATTCATTAAAAAATTTGAAATGTGAGCCAGGTATGGTGATGCATACCTGTAATCCCATCACTTGGGAAGTGGAGGCAGAAAGGTTAGGACTTCAAGGTCATTTTCTGCTATATAAGTCCCTATCTCAGCAAGAACAAAGTACAAAACAAAAACAGTGTTGAGAAGAGTACAAGGAAGGTAAGTCATCCTAGCTACCAGAAAGTGATACTTTAAAGGAAGTTAATTAGCTTAAAAATGGTGAGTTATCTCTGTTAAATTGAAATTCATTTAGCTAATGCTTAAGTAAATACCTATTTCCTATTAA